AAATTGTTTGGGCATTGAGGAATTGGTTTCTATTAACTGTCCATATATTTAATGTTGAATTTTATATGAGTGGGAAACCTCCTTTTGATTAGTTGAATTTTGCTCTTGACAAGAAAGTCATATTCAATCAATTAATTCACTTAAACGAAAGTCATATTCAATCAATTAATTCACTTAAACAAAACTCAGTATTATATAAATTAGTTTTATATGCGGCATAACTGCGAACAATATTGAAAAACAAGGAACGTGGGCTTCGAGAAACGACTGTGTTTTGAACAGTAATGTCCCATATATTCCTGGCCCAATGCACGCGTCAAAACTGCCATTGTCGTGAACTTCAAAAATATTCCATGTTTGTTTACTGTTATGGAAAAAGATGTGCTGTCTGTTAGTGTCTATTACCCAAGAAGACCTCGGTCTGAAAAATAAAAAAATAAAAAGTTTCGTATAATTTTACAGCCGTATAAAATCTGTTGGATATATTAAATTTTTGAAAATTAATATTTCTTTACAAAAGAGAGTATTCAAAACTTTTAAAGTTTGGACATGTTCGTAGAAATGATTATTTGTGTATTAGAATTTTCCTGTGCATTTATATTTGTAATGACCTTTCTTTTAGATTGTTTGGTTGGTTGATTTTACCAATATATCGCCCCCACTTGCTTATGTACCATTTTAGCGGGAGATTTCAGTACACCGAGGTTTATTATAATTACTTAAAACTTTTAAATTATTTTAGCACTTTATGGGTAGTTTCTACTAAATAATATTATTTATTCTCAACTGGTAATTTTTATTTAATTAGATTGCATAAATAGTTTAAATTAATTTTATAAAATTTAAGCATTATTTTGATTTAATATTTAAAATTAAATACATTTAATAATATTTATCGTCAATTATAATATTTAACTTAAATTTTTAAAATTTTAACAATTAACTATTATAATAGTAATAATTAAAATTAAGATTAAAGAATTTATGGGATAAATTGTTATGATCCAAATTTTTGTTAAATTTTGATTTTTGGTGAATTATTTGGGATTAGGAGTTTAAGTGCTTAAATTGAAAGTAAATTGGGTCAAATTGCAATTGGGGGGGGGGGTAAATTGCAGGAAATCAAAGTTTGCAAGGTCTGATTGAGATAGAATAGAAAGTTCTTTCAAAACAGTGCCTGAATCATTGTAGCTCCCATACCATGATGATTGAGACCTATTAGCTCGATTGAATCAAGAATTTAAGCTCGTTTTCATTGGTAAACAAAAGCCCTAAACAAATTTTGTGTTTCAAGTGGAAGTTTGAGAGAAATTTGTGTTTTATTTATTCCACATGCACTCACAGACAGTCGAAGGACTTCTAGGTTTGTTTTGGATCAATCGGCCAATTTTTCTCCGATTAAACAATCTTGTAAGGATTGTCCAATCCATTTTCACAAGCCTCGGCTTTCGATTGTGTGAGGTAACTAGAAATCTTGTGTTTTAATCCATTTTTCTTTAACCGGGGTTGTTGCAGACCGGTTAAGCAACTATGTTGCCAACCGGGTGGAGAAGACAGACCCGAAAGCATCTAGGTTTGTTCGAGTTAAAACGGGGAGTTGGCTCAATTCACTGAACTGACTTAGCCTGGGTGGGCTATGTAGGTGGGCTGAGTTGGGCTAGCCCAGGTCTAGATTGGGCCTATGCCGGCTAGCGAAAGGTTTGGGCTTAGGCTGGCCTAGTTGGGCTAGGCTTAGCCTTTGGGCTAGGTTGGGCCCGTGCCTATGCAATTGGGCCACTGGGCCGGGTCGAGGGTTGGCCTAGTGGTCAAATAGTGGGTCAACCTGACAAGTTGACCCAAAAGTGAATCAAGGATATGTTATCCTAGGGGATAGGGCAGAGCAGGGATAGGGTTAAATTGGGAATTATATAACCTAAGTAAGGATAGGCTGTCCATGGAAAAATTAAGGTTTCTACTGACTGAACCAGTCCAAAGATGGTTCAACATTTGACTGGCCAATTTAGTGGTCAATGCGCTTGAATATTTTAAGTTGGACCGATTCCAAGTTTAGGAAGATGAGATCTGTTGGACCAAGTTAGTCTAAGGGTTTGATGAAGTCTGGTTCGATCGAAAATTTAGTTTTTTTGGCTGAATTGGCTTGGTTTAAGGGTTTATGTGGCCAGTTCAGCCTTGTTTTAGGCGGTTCTTGACCAGTTCAGTCTTATTCCTAGGATTTTAAGGCTAGTTCAATCTGATTTTGAGGTTTCCATGGCCCGTTCAATTTTGTTTAAGGTAGTTTTAAGCTAGTTCGAGAGTTTTGGAGGCTAGTTTACTATGATTCAAAGGTATTCAAGTGATTTAAAGGGTGTTCTTGAGTTGTGTGGGTCTCAAGCGATGAGTAGTGAGTCTCGGGATATGTGTTAGGGTTTTAGAGTGGGATTTGAGTCTAGTTTTTGACTGTCGTGCCCTTTTCTTGTGCTAGTTTTGGCACCGGTTGTGATTTTGTGTTATTGTAGTTATAGATTCACTGATGGAGGTTAACCCGGATCGTTGAGTCAGGTGAGAGTGACTCGGGACTTCCTTTTTGGTTCAGCTTCAGTATTGTGAGTGATAATACTATCTCTATGCAAGAAGTTTTTATTGTGGTTTTCTGGCATGACTGATTATATGTTTTCTAAATGGTATTTTGGTAAATGTTACTTACGGGATATGTATTGTGTGATTTGTGAACAGTTAGTGAGCTATATTGATATGTTGACATCAGTTTTTGAGATATAAACTATATATATATATATGTATATCTGTTTTTGACTCATACGTGGTGATGATATCGTGTGATATGATTTGGGATGCTAGGGGCTTGACTGAAGGACAGGATGCGTTGCGTTTAGTGCAAGTGCCCTGGGTCCTGTATGAGGTGGCGAGACCATAAATATGATATGCATTGTTGTGATGAGATTAGGATGCCAAGAGCTCTACTAGAGAATAGTATGCCGTAATGTCTAGTAGTGAGTGCCTTAGGTCAGGTATGAGACGATAGGGTCCGCAGACATGATGCGCACTATCGTGATGAGTTTGGGATGCTAGGGGCTCAATTAGAGGACGGTGTGCCACAGCGTCCAATGCGAGTGCCTGAGTTTAGTGTGAGGTTGTGGGCCTCAGGCATGATGACTGGATATGTTGATACCTCACATATATGTTTTAACGTATTGTACTGCTCATTGTATATATATATGTATAGTTTTGACATATAATGTGACGTATATCCTGACATGCATAGATTAGATATCATCCATACTTATTAAGTTTTACGACTCAAGTTTTATGATCATTCTAGATTAGGTTTCCATTGTGCCTTGGTAAGCGTGCCAACATTAGAGATGTTCCTTGACTAATTTGATGTATGGCTTTCCTTGTATCATGTTCTTTGTATTCTAGATATTGCTCCTTATTATTCTTAGACAGGTCTTGACTTGTGTATTTAACAGTGTATGATTATTTGTATGTATTTGTTGAGATGAGTATGCTTTGCATGGTTGGTATTGTGAGGCTTGTTAGCGTAAGTAGACTCTAGTGGCAATCACGGATTTGAGAGTGGGTCGTGATATAAATATAATAATTGGTTTAACGGTATTGATTTTTAGGAGAATAAATAGTATACTGTATAATTTAAGGAGCTAAATAGGATATAGAAAAAAGTTCAATGAAGGAAATTGATTTTGGCTCTTTTGATAATTTTGTCATTCAACAAAAATTAGAAGGCTACATGAGGTATTGTCCTAGAGGTGGAGGTTTTAGGTATAGATGGTTCGACCAACTCCATTTAACATTGTAGGGCCCTACGGTTAGGGTTCACAATCAAGGCTTAAAAAATTAGATTGAACCAGTCAGTTGAACAATGTTCGTCAAAAATTTTATAAGTTATGTTTTTCAAATTCCCAACATACTTTCTCATGGACATTGTTTGTTAGAATTTATTTGAATATATTTTTAAATTTATTTTCTTTAAAAAGATTAAGTGTTTTTCAAATTTTTTTTTTTAAAAAATTATATTTTCAAATTTCTAATAGACTTTCTGAAGGACAATGTCCTTCGGAAATCTTATTTTTCTAAAAAAAAAAATAATTTTTTAATTTTGGATCAACATTGTTTAATATAAAAGGCATTTTCAACTAACTATTCTATTGTAAAATTCGTTGGAAAACACTGTGTAAAAAATTTGGGTTAAAATTCGAATAGCCATTCAAATTTTTAACAGAATTTTCTGAGAAACAATGTTTGTTAGAAAATTTATTTTAGAAAATAAATATTCTTTTCAAATTTTCAACATATTTTTCCATGGAAATTATCCATTGAATTTTTTTAAAATATATTTTGAAAATTTATTTTCTTTAAAACTTATGTTTGTTTTTTGTTTTTTTTTTTTTCGGTGCATAATAAGGTGGATAGGGGAGGCACCCTCAACAACTACCGGACAAGACGCTAGAACTGTGGACCGGGGATCCAACCAATAGAGGTAAGCCGCCACTACGGCCAAAAACTAAAACTTATGTTTTTTTTTTTCAAAATTATTTTTTTCCAAATTTTTATTAGATTTTTCCAAGGACAATGTTTGTGAGAAATTTTATTTTTATAAAATAATAGAAAATAATTTCGTTACTTTTTTGACAGATCATGTGGATTTTATATAATTTGATAGACAATTCCAAATATGTAGATTTTAATAGATAAGAAATTTATAATATTAATATAAAAATGCGATACGCCGATGTACGTGCTTTATAAAAGAGAATGTTAGATATGCTTTCTAAGAGAGAACTGTATTCGTGCATGTATGGCCAGAACGTCAAAACTGCCGTGCCATTGAGGGAGCCCTCCAACGGCTCTTTAATTACTTCTATTGGAAAAGTCAACAGAGACCAAATATTTAGCGGATTAGAAAAGTCCACATTGAGGACCTGGATCCGCCATTGCTTGCATCCGCAAGCCAACTCTCACCCGGCCCAAAGCATACGATCACCATGATCAGATTCTGCAAAAGCTGCTTTTTCATCCTCAGCTTTTGCGTCCTGCTTCTCCTAGTCCCTCGTCGGGCGGCCGCCCTGAGCATCGACCTACCCAGCATTAATCAGACAGCCAAGGCGATCCTGAATGTTTCCGGCAACGCCTCTATCTCGAATGATGGCCTCGATCTCACCAAAGACACCTACTATGCCGCTGCTATGGGCGATAACTGCGGCCAGGCGGTATACAAGGAGCCCCTCCATCTCTACGACAACGCCTCTGGCGAGGTAATCAGCTTCACCACCCACTTCTCCTTCCTCATCTACTCCCCTGACCGTTACGCCGACGGCATTACCTTCTTCCTCGCCCCTGTCGGCACCTCCAACTTCACCAACGGCTCAGCCATCGGCCTTCCCCTCAAACAACACTCCTTCGTCGCCGTGGAGTTCGACACTTTCCCCAATTACGAATGGGACTCACCGAATTTCAGTTATTCACACCCCACACACGTGGGTATCAACGTCCACAATATGAGTTCTGTTAAGTTTTCAAAGTGGGACACCAATATATCCAACGAGAATGTGCGTTATGAAGCATATATTAGTTATGGTTCTGGATCGAGAATTTTCGGTGTCAATTACTCAAACTTTGTTAATGGCTCCACTTTCTTCAGCAGCATCCAGTACTTGATCGATCTGAGGGATTACTTGCCAGAACGAGTCATCTTTGGCTTCACGGGCGCTACAGGGCTCCATTTTGAGAAAAATACTATCATGTCCTGGCAATTTAACTCGACCACTTTGCGAGTCGACGAAAAGGGGAAGAAAAATAAGCGGAAGAAAAATAAGGCTTCAGTGGTAGGATTACTGGTTGGCTTGTGTGTTATAGTTGGTGTGTTGGTTTTGATTGGATTTGGCTTGTGGAGGAAGAGGAGAGGAGTTGAGAATCAGGATTTTGCCATTGAACTCTCTATGGAGAACGAATTCGAGACAGGAAGTGGGCCTAAAAAATTCTCTTACAGAGAATTAACCCGTGCAACGCATAACTTTTCAGAGGCAAACAAGCTCGGAGAGGGAGGTTTTGGTGGGGTTTTCAAAGGCTTCTTGAAGGAAACAAACACCCATGTCGCAGTGAAGAGGATCTCAAAGGGATCTGAACAAGGGATAAAAGAGTACGCATCAGAAGTGAATATCATTAGCCGGATAAGGCACCGAAACTTGGTCCAACTCATAGGCTGGTGCCATGAGAAGCAATCGCTGCTCCTGGTCTATGAGTTCATGGAAAATGGAAGTCTTGATTTTCATCTCTTCAAAGGAAAAAGCCTATTGACATGGACTAGGAGATATGGAATTGCTAAGGGACTAGCCGCAGCGTTGCTCTATTTGCACGAAGAATGGGAGAAGTGTGTAGTTCACAGGGACGTGAAATCTAGCAATGTCATGTTGGATTCCAACTTCAATTCCAGGCTTGGAGATTTTGGTCTGGCCAGATTCTTCGACCACGAAAAGGGGCCCGAAACAACAGCGGTGGCAGGGACCTTGGGCTATATGGCTCCTGAAATATGTTTGGTCACAGGCAAATCCAGTAAGGAATCAGATGTGTATAGCTTTGGAATCGTGGCGTTGGAGATTGCTTGTGGGAGAAGAGCTATTGATCGCAGGGTTGAAGAAAGCCAGGTGAATTTGCTGCAGTGGGTTTGGGACCTCTATGGCTTGGGGAAGCTTCTTCAAGCTGCAGATGCGAGGTTAGCCGACGATTTTGGTCAACAGGAGATGGAAAGGTTGATGATCGTGGGGCTCTGGTGCGCTCACCCAGATTATAGTCTCGGCCTTCAATTAGGCAAGCGATTAATGTGCTCAATTTTGAAGCTCCACTTCCTGTTCTCCCTGCAAAGTTGCCTGAACCGACGTATTTGGCTCCCGCACTTTCGCTCCCCCTCTACTCTGACACCGGTTCCTCCGAGAGCAGCCAAGGCCAGTCGTCGAGTTATACTCACAACACAGGCTCCTCACACTTCAGCTCGGCATCAGCAGCCTCTTCTTTAGCTGTTTCATTTTTGCACCCAAAAAATAGAAGGTAATTAGAAATTAAGGGTTCGTCTTTTTTTTTCCTTTATCGAATTTGTTCTTAAAATAAGATACTGGGTTGTTGAAAATGATATTTTTATGAACAGATTATGCATGTAATAAGGTGCTCATAAACCTTGTAACTCGTTTTCCTATGGAGTCGACTATTCCCTGTTTCTTTTTCTTCTAGGAACTAAGAGCAAATATTGGGACAGTGGAGCTAAATGCTTCGTTTGAGACTTTAGATTTCTAAAATTTTTTTAATGAAAGAAATAAATTCGAATTTTTCTGATATTGATATTTTATATTTTTGGTTAATTTAAATATATTCATATACTAATTAGAAAATAAAAATAAATATGCTCATATACTAATTAGAAAATAAAAATTAAGCAATTTTAGCTAATTTTTCTTCTTATAATGTGTCTCATTTGAAAGGAAATTTTGAAAAAATAAAATATCAAAAAGCCAAAAAAATAATTAGTAAAACAGAATATTAAACAACAGGAAAGCTCAAAAAGTTGAACTAAATAGCAAGAAAGAAAGGTAGAAAACTAGAAACCCAAAAAAGCCATCTTTCTGAGCTTAGCAAGATAAAACCTGTCTGATCAAGGTTTCAGATTTTTTAAGCAAACCAACACTCTGTTTCGGCTTAATTCTCCAAAGCGCTGGCCAAGCCTTCGTGGATTCCTCTTATTGGAATGCTTCAAGATTCGTATAAAATGCTTGGAAGCAAAAAATTAAAGTAAGAGGAAAGGGCCGCAAGGGAAAGGAAGGGAAGGGATTAGATAAGTGAATATATTAATTGCATGGACGAATTAATTGATTAATTATTATTATTGGCTAAGTACATCTCTTATATAAAATATATAATTTATAACATTATATATAAAAATATATTTATTTAAAAATAAATAGTACTTTATCCTTCAAAAATTTAAGTTTTAGCATCATAAGTATAAATGTTGATTGATCTTCTCATATTTCAACCATGTACAATTATTATTTATAATTGAAAAGACATTTATACTCTTTAAAAGTAGAATTTTAATAAATAATTTACTTAAATATTGATTAAAGAGAGTAAATAGTATGAATTTAATATTTGTACAAAAAAAATGTTTTTTTTATATGTTTTGAAAGATTATATTATTAAAATTTAAAATTTTTATAAGGTAAATTCCCATTTGTGCTATATTTAATAGAAATATTATTTCAAGTAAAATGATAAATACTTGGATTACATCTCAATTCGTTACAAAAGGTGCAGTTGCAATTTAGCATATTATATGTTTTGAGTTGGTCAACCTTAATCTTTTCTTGTCTTTTTATGAAAAGTGCATATAAATAGAAAAAGTTAACTAATTTCATCCACCTCAAAATATAAAATTCTTCCGCATAAATTTTGTTATTACCATATCATTATTCAAATAAATTACGTCTAATTGAAGAATCTTTTTTATTAAACACCAAAATTATGAGAAATTATTTAATACGATATTCATTTCGCGTGGTGGTACGACGGTTCCCCTTATTGGCTAAAGTTAGAACTTTCATCTGGTAACTTTAAATCATAAAAATGAAAAGAAGGGGTCGACAAATAGCCAGAGGGAAAGAGTGCGCTCAAGGCCATCAGTTTTCCATACTAATGGCTCAAATTTCTTCCGTACCATGCACCCCCAATTTGCAGAAGATGCCAAGTAGACAACCTCTACTTATCGGCAAAGTTTGAAGGGTAGACAAAGCAGACTCCTGGAAATGCGAGACTTCAACTTCAACCAAGGAAATGTTCTCACGTATTTTCCCCTCTAACCCCAGTCCACTACTTTCAGCAGAATCGTGGTGGGCTTCTTCATCAGCAACTTCTACAAAAGCCACTTGTGCAACTTTTGCTTTTCTGCTGCCAGAAATTTTTAGTCTGCCACATCAAATTCTAGTCTTATTGTAGATATCGCTCACATAGTTGTTACGCCTGAATATATATTTTTTTTTATGTCACATTATTAAATTTATATAAATACTCTTGCTAGGGGTGATCATGGTTCTTTTTTTATTTTTTTATAAAATTAAATTGTTCCGATTATTTCAAATTTTTTTAATATTAAAGTCAAAATCATACTTTTAGGTACTAATATCATTATTTTAGTTTTATTTGATTTTGACATGGTTTTTTACAAATTTTTTAATCATATTAAAATATTTAAGTAACTAATAAAATTTTTACAAAATCACGCAAAATTTTTTTTTAATATATAACTAACATGAAAAAATTAATTATTTAAAAATTACATAATTTAATAATTTCCTACATTTGAGGATTTAATATCAAAACTTTTATTAATAATTATCTATAATTTTATATTCTCAATCCCAAAATGTATTAGAAACAAATCAAAAATTGCATAAAAACAAATGAAAAGGCAATTTTATTTAATCAAATTTAACATAAAATTTTTAATCATTTAATTGAAAACCTACCATTATTAGAGGATTTAATTAACTTACATATGATATAAATACTCTAATTAATGAATTATAATTCAATCATTTAGAAGTTTAATAATTTTATATAATATAAATAATTTAATAAATTGTTAAGAATAATGTATTGGTACGGTATAATTTAAAGTTTAATTTTATTTTTCTTTAAATATTGTATTTATTTTTCTGTTGATAGTTGAGATACAAGATTTAATAATTTATATTTTAAAAATTAAATTCAATTTTCAATTATTTGTATTTATTTGGCAATGTTAATTTTTTGAAACTTAAGATTTTTTTATGAAAAAATGGTCTAATACTTAGTTCAAATTTTTTTATATGTAATTTTCTTCATTTAATTTTTTTCTCTAAAATTACTTTTAAATTTGTTAATTGAAAGTTTTTACTTATTTACAATAGAAAAGTGTATTTAAGAAGGTTTTTTTTTTTTTTAGTTAAGACTTCTCATGTGTTAGATAATTTATGAAATTTAAATTAGATGATAAATTGGTAAGTGATTCATTACATTGCAACATAAATTTGATAATATAAGAAAAAAACAAAAAAAATAATGATCTTATTGTCTAATAGATATACAAAAGTTAAGAAACTAGTTATAAAAGTATAAGATATGTATTAAAATCTTTTTACACTTTAATCCATAGTATTATATTTCTTTTTCATACAAGTCCTTAACCTTTTAATTTCTTTAATTTACTATTAAATTATAGTTAATAATTAAGAATTTAATCATTTTGTATATGATATAAATAATCTAATAAATTATTATATATAATATTCAGTTCATTATGATTTTTTGTTAGTTTTAAATTTATAAAACTAAAACCATACTAGAACATTTGGTATAGTATTACCTAATATCAAAACCTATAATTTCTTTTTAAAAAAACTTAACTTTCGGTATAATTTAGTTCCGTATGGTTTTAAAAATCATGAACACCTCTAACTTCCACCATCATTCTTTTCACTCTACTGAAAATATATGCATTTTTTTTTTTAATATGCAAGGTCAAGTTAGAAGGAGAGAAAACCGCTTGAAAGGCATGTCACAATACAAAAGCTTTACACTTAAGAAATCTATTAACATTTCTTGGCTTGAAAAACCCAAAAAGAACTCTTGTCCCCCCAAAACCTATACAAGGCAAGACCTTCCCGTCTATGCCATCCCTAACTTGTGCCAAAGAAAACTCCAAATGTATAGCACTAGCTAACAAAAAGAAACGAAAAACTAGCCAATCACCAACTTTGACGATTGTTGGAGAATAAGGCCAATAGATCAATCCGTCTCAACACAGCTTAGCATCTCAGTAGAGCAACATTCTTTTCCACTCTCCATAATCTTTGGTGCATAACCTTAGATGCTCCACCTCCTGAATCCATAGAGTTTTACCTTGTATTTCTTTCACACCTAAATCTATAGAGCTTTATCCTGTATTTCCTTTACACCTATACTAAAGATATAACCAACATGCACTAATCTTTATATTTTCATTCCTCTATACCTATTCGTGCAGCAACAACTTTTTTGATATAAAAGGTTGTATCTCATCATTAATTGAATGTGTAAACAATTCTCAACTACACAAATATCTAACAATGAGAACTCAATTCTGTCACTCTTATATGAATTCTATCATGGTATTAAAGCTATAGTGGAGGAAGTTTTCTTTCAATTCAAAGCCTACTGCATAACCAAATCTTCTTCTCCTTGAACAATGTCAACTGACTACTCTCAATCCTCAACATTTTCTACCTTGTCTTCTACCTTATCCCTAGATTAAACCTCTCAGATACCCATTCCTCAATTCCTGAACATTAAGCTAGATGAGAAAAATTTTATGCTATGGAAAAGCTAGTTTCTTATCTTTGTCCATACCAATGGCTTGAAAAATTTCATTGGTGATAAAATATCTCCACCAATAGAATACCTAGACATGGAAAGAACTACCAAGAATTTAGACAATCAAGTCTGGAATTGCACAAATCATATTGTAATCAATTGGCTCTACTCCTCCCTCATTCTTGAACTATTTCAACCTAGTAATTGGTTTTACCTAGCCTCTGAAATCTAGAACACTCTAAGATGGTGCTACGAGTCATCATCAACTGTTCATGCCATGAACCTTCGCATCCAACTTCAATGGCTCTCCAAAAGAGGAAAGACCCTGAATCAATATCTGATGTAACTTCAGGAAATCATGGACAAGTTTGCTACAATAGGGGAGCCTTTCAGCTATTGAGATCACTTGGGTCATTTGCTCGAAGGATTGCCTGCTGAATATAATGCCTTTGTGTCCTCCGTGTATGATCGATTTGATCAACCAAGCATTGAGGAAGTTCAAAATCTGCTCACAACTTATGACAATTGACCTGAAAGACAACAAATGGCAAATATGCTGATCTTATCATAGGCACAACTCTCAAACTGGACAATCTCTCACAAGAACTAGTAGAATGCCTAGCAACCGTGAAAGCTT